AATGAATGTTTAAATAATTTATTGTTCTGAGTTAGAAGAGCATTTATAATCGCAAGACGTTATTAAAACGTCCGCAGTTCAGACATTAGCCCGATTATTGGCCGTCAACTTGATGTGCCAGCTCATATTAATCAGGTTCGACGTAAAAGTTTCAATATGGTTTTTGTTTGAAACGAAGACGTTTGCATGAAATCTTTCTACCATGGATTTCTGTCTTTTTTCTAACTCATGTGTTGGGAAAATTTTGCTTCAATAATTAGGAATTTAGAATTATGAATTATAAGTATAATTATGCTTCTAGCTGCTTGCTGACCTCTAATCATTGCTTTGTTATTAGCGTAATAAAGATAATCGCTCCCTTTAGAAATGGTCGATAATCAGCATCGAGTATTCTAATTTATTTTTAAGAAGAAAAGTATCCGATGAGAAAACAGTTCACTTTTAAGTATAATATTATTATTCAGAAATTCTTGTTGTTTCCTCCAGTGTCACTTTCAACTATGCAGAATCTGCCTTTCTGGTATTCTTGATCACGTAGCTTCCTCAGTGTTCTTTGTCATACAAACATAACAGTGTACAATATTGTTTCGTCGACGGAACCAGTTCTTCTTTGCTCATTGCTCAGCCTTTATGTCTCTTTCCATTGCTTATCATGATTATGATTACTTTTCCGATATTTCTTGCCTTTTCCTCATCAATGATTTTGCCTCAACACTGTAAGTCAATTTTCTTCAGCTATGCTAAGGTAGGTTACACGTTTATCTTCTTTCTTGTTTTACTGTTTTCCAAGTTCGACTATTCAAGTGGAATGAAGGATGTTGTTTTCTTTTCAATGCTTTATATAATTCCTCAAGCATTGTCTGTGCCAAGTGTCCATTCGTCGTACTCTTTGGTCATTTGATGTGAAGGGCACGAGGCATGATGAACAGATTTCATCATGCTTTCTCACGGGATTAATATGGATGATGGCTCAACTCCTTCTGTAGTCATATAGTGTATGCTTCGAGCTATGAAAGATGTTATTCACCGTGGGGATTCCATCTTATCTATAAGATCCAAATGACAGTGTGCCCAATGACCGAGTCTGGTGTACTAATTTCAGTAAGTTCTTGCGGATTTAAAATTTGCACCAATCCCCAAAAATAGTTGCAAACGCCTGCATGCAGAGAGACAAGTTTCACTTTAAAGTATGGCGGTGTTCTTTCCAAAATAGTTAAGCTGTTGAGATGACAACGCAGCGTTAGATCAGATGAAATGGTTCTCCAGTGTTTGAATGGAATCACTGAGGAATGCAATTTTTAAGCAAAACAAACAAATGAAGCATCCGAATAATTGGAAGCAAATAGAAGTTACTGTAAAAACAGAAAGATGCAAAAAATGATAAATATAAAGCAAGTATTTGACCAGAAGGCTACACAGTTATCACAGTAACTCGAACAAACAGTGCCATAACAGATATACAGTATCAGCATGGCTAAACAACGTTGCTTAACCGTGCTGTTGTACATGAGGATTCGCACTGAGGCATGAATAATGTATTTCATCGACATCTCTGTTCCAGAAAACATGATGATATACACTCGATCAGGTAGAAGCACTTCGCGACAGGTCCTGCATAAGGCTGTCGTGAATGGAGTGACTAAAATCACTCAGTTGTTGTCTCCATTCGAATATCCAGTACAACTGCTGATCTGACAACATGCAATGACAACGGATGACCGTTGGCAAGTGCCAAGTTTTGCAAGGCTTAGAATCGCATGATATTAGTCCGGGTAAAACGATAGCTGTCCAGCATATTTACAGAAGAAAAATGCTCGCACTAAGTATAGTTCTTAATACCATCTTTTTGTGCCGATTTTTTAAAGACTGGATACACAGCTGATGGAAACCCATGAAGAGCTTCCAAATTTGTGGAACTCAATATGACATGGTAAAATGATAGCTATCTCATACGTTTTAAGGTAAGTTATGAAACTGCAGGTGCTCAAATATCATGGAGCAGTGACACGCTTAGGCGATTAGAAACAAGCGGACAGTGTGCATACGCCGAGTGAACCCTGTGTCAGAAATTTAAATGTTTTGATTACTGGCGGAATTGGAAAGCTACAATCTGCCAGGTACCCCAGAGCATTAGGGTTATATTTTGTTGTAAATCATCCTCGATTAGACTTCAAAGAGTGACTTTCGAAGAATCAGTGTTGTCATTTGAAAAATGCTGTCTTTGTATTCCTACTTGTTCAGACCTGGAGAAGTTAGTACAGTTTTAAATGTAGAAAATCGTAATAAATATAAACTGTAGTAAAAATTCTACGATGTTTTATTCGTCGGTTTCTAACCGGTAGCAATGAACGACTTCTGAGCGTTTGTCGTTTTAGAAAGAAAGTTTGCATTGAAAATCTTAGTCTTAAAAGTTGTGCTCTTGCGGAAGGCCCACCTCAACGGATCTGAAAGTTGTCAACGACACGAGACGTGTGTATCTGAACAAAGCGAGACATCAGGTTCAGTAATACTGACGAAGGCGAGGCAAGGGAGGCATGAGGTCGCTCTAATGTTAGGTTCAAGCAAGGGAGCACCTGACTGGCAGGCGAGACGGCAAGTCGGTCGTCGTCGTTGTCGCGCCGCCACTACATACACTGTGCGGAATGAACTATGCCGCCAGAA